GGCAGTTGCTAGTATCAAAGCTTACTAAGATAAAAGAAAAAGAAAATTGTAGCCTAGTGAGCCAGGCTGACTTCTGCCATGTTTTAAGCCCAGCTTATCTATCTGGGAAAGGTCAGAGTCTCTGATCTAAAATGGACCGGATCAATCAGAGTATTGGAGTTAACAATTGCTCCAAAATTACCCATAAAGCAGCAGCACTTTTCTGTTACTATCATAGTCAAAATGTTTTAGTGATGACTCTTATCATGAGCCGAATTCACCATATAAACATATAAAATTAAATAAAACTATATAAGTATATAAAGTTTCAACCATTGATGACACTAAGAGCTATTCATACATTTTTTCTTACAGCATTTTTGCATCACATCTGAAGTTATCTGATTGGTTCTAATCAGTTTCTTTAATTTGGTTTGTCCTGTCTTTATAATATGGCTCTACCTGCTGCATTCTGGAGTGATGGTGAGTTCACACCGAACTGCAAGGTGTCTAATGAGTGTTATTTGTTATTCCCGTTTCCAATTTATGCACACAAAAAAATCAGTAAACGGATAACGGCTCATTATCTGTTTTTTCCCCTTTTGTTTTGGACACAAATAATGAGAAAACAAGTGTATTTTTGCATTTTTAATTTTTAATTACTCCTATGTAATTATAAATAGCAGTTTCTAATTAAACACAAACATAACGATTGAGACTATCAGTTCATAGAGGGTAAGGATAGCATACTTATGCATAATATATTTCTGTCCATAAATCACTTTTATTTAATTATAACACACTGGAGCTTTGAGTTCCAAAAATATGTTGTTTAATATTTACATTCGCAGTTTTTTTTTTTTTTTTTTTTTTGTGAAAAAGTACAAAACCACTTAGATTTAATAGCTTATGCAGATATTTTTCAGATAAAAGTGATACATAATGTAATACTTTCCTTTAAACTTTTGGATATTTTCCATCCATCCACTGTCTGTACATCCTTATTCTGTCATTAGATGAAACCCAACATTCAACCTAAACAGATTTATTTTTAATTTGATCAAATCAAAACCCCTTTTTTGACCGATGTATTACTGAAAATGTTCTAGCTGGTCTTTAGGGATAAAAAAAAAACATTTCACTGAAATCATCAGTGATGTATGTGTGAAGGCAGATGTAGAATATAATCAATGGTTCTATTTTGTGAGTAGGAGGTAAAGGTCACAGTATATCATCCATCCATCCATCCATCCATCCATCCATCCATCCATCCATCCATCCATCCATCCATCCATCCATCCATGTTCTGATGTGAGGATGGCCTCATTCATCGTCTGCTGAGACAGCTCAGATTAAAAGAAAGGCCTTTGTAGTTCCACACATCTGTGAACACGTAAATGACGGAGAGACAAAACTGAAATTAAAAAGGAAAACAGAAAAAAGATTAAATTAACTGTATGTCATTTCATTTGAGATGTTGGATCCAGATTTGCTCCGGGGCGGCGTGTTTCAGAAGCAGATTGGTTTTTCCTGTATCATCCTGTGAGATAATGAAATGTTTGTAGAGGAAAGCTGCATAAATAAAAGCCAAAATTACTTGTCTCCATAGCTACCGCCCACAAACCCCTGCTGAAGGCTCAGAAAGGATCAGCAGAGCTGGGAATCGTTCTCTGATCGGCGCGTTGAGTATGAATCTGTAGCCTGTGTGCTACGTTCCCCAACGTGGTGCCGGTCCACATGGAGATGCTGCCGGCCTGCAGGAACACGTCTTTGCTGAGATGGAAAGGCCCCTTTCTGTGCTGCTTTTCTTCCTTTTCTTTTCAAGGACAAAGACAAGATATTTATCCTGTGTAGGAGGAAAGCAAGGCTTTCTGTAGAACATTATTAGGTAGCACTAATTACAGGTTACACAATGCTGCAAAAAAGATGAACATCTCCAAGAAATGCTAAAAGTATTGAGAGTGTGGGTGCTTTCAAAGTAAAATCTATATTCAGCAACCTGAAGAGGACTGCTTATAAAGACTCAATACTTAAGCTGAATGCCATCTGGTAGTGATGGGAAAACATTTCTGATTGCTTCTTTGAAATTCATTTTATTCTGAGTCAGCAAACATTTTATTGTATCATAAATAAACGGATGGCTTTGTTGACTGTAGAAAACCCGAGTTGTAGAAGTTTTGAATCAGGTTTAATTTCTTTGCAGTCTGATTTCTTTTTTTCTTTTTTTGTGGGGACATTTTGCCCTCTTAGACACGGTGGTGGCAGAATCGTGCTGTGGAAGTTCTTTTTCTTGTCAGAGTTGATGGAAGATGGGTGGAGCTAATTCAAGGTAATGCTGGAAAGCAACAAAACACAGACGCTTGTCAGAATAAAATGTTCTAAATTTAATTTAATTTCATCCCTCCTTAACCCTTTAAAGCCCGATCCAAGAATAAAACAAAACAGAAAATAACTTTTTTTTGGTTTAAAGTCCTTATTTGGTATTTTTAACAAAATATGTAAAAAAAAAAAAAAAAAAAAAAAAAAAAACAGAAATAAATTTTTTATAATAATTTATTACTATGCGATAAGTTAAGATTATTTTTGGTGTAGTCTTCTGCCCTCTGTTATCAGGTATATCTGATTGTGTACAATAGGATTTTGAGCAAAGTTTTTACCATTAAATTATGCAAAAGGTGTCAGACGCAAAACATTTCAGAAACCGTATGTATCAAATATGATACATTTGGCATTATAGGGTTAAAAATAGTAAAATTTACTCAAATTATGACTCTTCCGAGGAAAATAGGTTGAACTCCATATAAACACTTCATGCCAGAGGTTTAGCAGAACCACTTGGATCAAAGCATATTTATTATTGAGTATAGTCCAATCAAAACCTGAGTTTATGCAAAAAAAATATTTAAAACAAATGTTCAGAGCTACTCTTCTTTTATTATTTAATCTTTATTTAACCAGGAAAAAAATGTAATTTAGATAAAAAAAAACTCCTTTTGAAGAGAGTCCTGGCCAAGAGGCAGCAAAGTTGCATAATAAGCAGAGATACATTAAATTAAATGACAGGTACATAAGAAAACATATCAAGTAAAACAATTACAGATCATTCAAGCTGATTCAAATTCTTTCACTTTTAACTTAAAGAAATTAAAAATAAAAACTCAGTCAACTTCCAGTTTCTTTGTTAAAAATTCCACACACAAGGAGCTGCGTAACTAAAGGCTTTCTTCTCTAGTTCTGTGCGGCAAAAGGAACATTGAGCAACAGCTGATCGTTGGATCTCAGGGCAGAAGAAGTTATGCTTTTCTGTGTAAGTAAGGTACAAATGTAAGACGGCAGTAATCCAAGAAGGGCCTTGGAAATAAAAGTGTACCAATGACACTGCCTTCTCGCAGAGAGGGAAGGCCATCCCACCTAAGCAACATATTCTCATTATCAGTTCATATGAAATCGTGCGAAAAGTTATGCACAGTATTTCGTACGTTTTGGACGTTTTTCCTCGAAAATACAGATCAGTGCGCATGCGCAGCCAGACAGACGAAAAAAGCAGATCCGCGGACGGACGTAAAACTGGGAAAAACAGTGCAATAATCACTTCTTCAGGTCTCTAACTAGGTTGCTTGCTGCTTTGTATCTTAGGGTTAGGGTTAATTGTATGTTAAATTCTATTTAATGGTGCATAAGATGCGCATGCGCAAGGATATCTTGTCTCGAGGCAAGACGTAAAAATACGACGAAAAAACGTCTAAAACGTACGAAATTACGGTGCATAACTTTTCGTACGATTTCATACGAACTAATAATGATGTCATGGCTCTACAGTTTGTGATGAGCCTTAATGAAGCATGGGAAACAGAGTCCAACATTTGAAGACATGAAGAAATAGCATTCTTATAAAAACAGGTCACCATAGGCAGAAGGTGGCAGAGAAAAGGCGCTTTTTTACTCCAAAAGAAGAACATGCCTTATTACAAAAGAAGAGTCCCAGTTTAACTTTTTAACACTGCTTTCAACATGGAAGAATTTGAGCTATTTTTCAAGAAGCAATTTCAGCTGGGAAACAAACCCTAAATCGCTTGGAGCTGTAAATGCAGCCATAGATTTGTACTAAATTTTTTTTTACAGTTTTAAAATGTATGCAAAAATGTTTGCTTAAGCTTCTTTCTTTAAACTCATACCGGTGTACTGCTTTGTACAAGTGTTTCCGAACGGTCAATTTTTTTTTAGATATAAATTTGTTTCCCTATAATGTATTTTTTTTCTCTAAAATGAAACTTTCTCTCACCTAAAATCTAACTTATTTAAAATGTGAATTTGTTTCCTAAAATATAAATTTGTTTGCTAAAATTTAAATTTGTTTTTAAAAATTTTTACTTTTTTTTTTTCAAAAATACATTTGTTTCATAAAATATAATTTTTTTTCTTCAAATGTTATATGTTTTTTATTTGTTAATGTGTTTTTGAATTGTAAATGTGTTTTGCACTTCTCAGCCACCGTAGCTTTGTGTTTGTCTGCCAAATTGAAATAAGGATTAAACACAAAAAGGTTTTATGTGTAACCATGAAAAAACGTGAAAATGTCTGAAGTTCAGTGTGGACTGTAAAACAAACCTAAATAATTCTCATAATACAGCATAACGAGTAAAGAATTATTTGAAGTTATCTCTTTAATAAAAGCTTAAAGAGAAGGAGAATGCATCATATGCAGACATAAAGCCCTGTATTGCACTGGGTTATTGGCTCTATTGTGATATTTTATGTGTTTAAACTGAAGTGCTTTGTCTAAAGCCTTTTAATGTTTCATAATGGAAATCTTTCTTGCTTTCTAAAAGTGTAAATGGTGACACGTTCCTGTTATGCAACACTTTTATAATGTGTTTGAGACAGAAAAATGGAAAGCATAGACTAATAATGCATAAATGTACTTTATTGTGTAGAGGTTTAAATGAGATACAAAGTGAAAAATAGATTTATTTTTACTGAAGCTATAATTGAGTTTTATATGTTGGATTTTGAGGTCCTTGTTTGCCAAACCACCCAAAGATTTTCATATAGACACCTTCAAATACTTACATGATGTTCCTGAACCAGTCCAGAAGAGAGACAATAAACTGAAATACTTTATTTATTTTAATTCACAAGAACCTGACACAGTCACAGTCCCATTGCTGCTGCCTTATATATGCAGATAGTTGGAAAACATGGAGCTTACTGAGGTTATATAACCTGTCTATCATGTGAAGTTTTCAGTGAAGTCCCAGTGTGTATTTTCTAGTTTATGCTCCGGTTGGAGGAGGCTGCAGATGTTTGTTAGAAGAAATCCAAAGCAGATGGATTTCAACAGCATGTCGGAGCACCTGCTGGTAATGAAGGGATGTAGACGGCTCAGAGGTCAGGGGGCAGCTCCTCTTCATCCAGGCGTTCACTGATAGGGGTGCTGAACAGAGACGACTTCTTGAAAGGGGAGTTCGGGTTCCGGATGGGTGTAACACCCTGTAAACCAAAAAACACAGTAAAACGGTCAGATGGGTGGATGGATGGATGGATGGGAATAGAAAAGGATAGAAATTGAACTTTATTGATCTCACAATGGAGAAATTAACTCTGCATTTGACTGATCCCCTTGGGGAGCAGTGTGGGATTAAGGGTCTTGCTCAGGGACCCAGAATGCAGGCTGTGGGGATCGAACCAGGTACTTGCAACCTTCTCAGAGCACAAGCTCACAGCTCTAACCACTAGGCCAACACATGGATGGATGGATGGATGGATGGATGGATGGATGGATGGATGGATGGATGGATGGATGGATGAATGGATGGATGGATGGATGGATGGATGGATGGATGGATGGATGGATGGATGGATGGATGGTAGGTAGGTATACTGTGACCTTTACCTCCCACTCTCAAGACCATTGGTTACATCCTACATCTGCCTTTAAACATACATCACTGAGGATTTCAGTGAGATGTTTTTTAATCAATAAAGACCAATTAGAACATTTTCAGTAATATGGTCAAAAAAGGGGTTTGATTTGACAAAATTATAAATAAATCTGTGTAGGTTGAATGTTGGGTTTCATCTAATGACAGAATAAGGATGTACAGACAGTGGATGGATAGAAAATATCCAAAAGTTTAAGGAAAGTATTACATTTTGTGTCACTCTTATCTGAAAAACTCTGCATAGGCTCCTAAATCTCAGTGGTTTTGCACTTAAATAAAGTAAAAAAAAAAAAAAAACTGCCTATCTAAATATGAAACAACATATTTTTGGAACTCATAGCTATTAATTTAAACTTGCAGTGTGTTACTCAGTAAAACGGTCAGCTGCATGGATGGATGGATGATGTACAGGAACCCTGTAAAATATTTATTCCCTTTTGCTAAAACAAAGACAAACAGATGTTTTCCCAAGTAGTTAATCTAATTCAGACAGTTTCTCTGTCGGGATAAAAAAGTCATCTTCATTATGAACGTGGCAAAGATTTGGGAATGGAATGAGAGGAATGTCCTGGATCTAAAAACACAGTGTAATAGTTTGAGGAGGCTGAAGCCATGGATGTCTCCTTATCTGTAAACATGTATAATGTAAGGATGTGATGATGTGGCAGACTGGAGTTCTATAAAATGCTTCTCTAACTGTGATTTTTCAATAAGATAGGAGCCCGCCCCGCCTTCTGTAACTCTACGTAACTTCTCTGGTCTGAGTAAGATTACAATTTCCATCAAAATCTCTTATCATGTCTCATGGTTATTTAATACATATGAATTATGGGTTATTTAAAGAGTTTGTCATGAGTGATCTCTTCTCAGGAAAATAACTGGAGCAAGAGGGCTTCAAGGTGTCTTTTACGCCGCTAAGATCACAGATCATACAGTAAGTTATTGATTCATTATTATCAGAAGGCTGACAAACCTGTATCTTCTGGCAGTTTTCACTCCAAAATGTTATGGCCTGCTCAAATTTATAATCGCGCATCTGGAAACAAGAGAGAACAAATCAAACAAGGCACTGACCCATACATCAGGATGGTGAAATACAGAAAGGTTCTCGTTCATTTAAGCTGATAATAGTTAACTGATATTCAGCAGAAAATCCTACAGACGTCACTAACGATCAAGCAGGAACTTCAACACATACATGCTTCGACTTTGGTCTGCTGGGAACAAATCCTAAGACACAGAAATCCCTCTGAGTTGTAGAGCAATAGTCCACTTCAGGTTCTGGTGGGGTTAGTTCAGCTTGAAACTTCTCCCTGTGAAAACAGGAAGAGTTGTATAAACCCATGAGGGGGATAAAACCTATTTAATAAGTTCAGAGGATCATGTTAGAATTATAGGTGTTGGTTAAAAAAAAAAACTTTACAATTTTGTTTTACCATTAAAATAAACTGTAAATTTAAACTGAAAATAATTTAGTCAGGTGGAATAAGAAAATAAAAACTGCAATATTCGCATATTTCAATATTCATGTGGTGCTCATTTTGGTTTACATTTTATCATTTAAATCTTTAATTGAATATTTAATCTTTTTTTTTGTATACTGTATGTTGTCAAAGTCTGATATTTTAAGGGATCTTTTGCCTCCAACGTTCTTTAAATGACCTCAAAGGTGTTCAGGTCCGAGCCAAGGCACAAGTAAGCAAAGCAGGTGCTTAGGGACCAAAGGGAACTAGGGGCCCCAACAGCAATTAACTATTGTTTTTTTTTTTTTGGATTTTCTTTTTTTTTATGCAAGGTTTTTATTTAAACTTATTTGCAAAAAATCTATTTCATTATAGAATTATGCATTTTCACATCAGCCTATCTTTAAAACTGTAGAAATCATTACTGATATGTGAAAAAACAGATTGTTGATCTTTGCGCCAGGTAAATAGATCATATTGCCCTGACATGTTAATTTAACCCAATGGTATTAAGACCAGAACCTAGCTTTTATTTTTAATATAACTTTGAATGAATAATTTATTTACCTTTTATAAATGGTTTAGATGCATTTCATAATTAATAAACTATCTGTAAATCATGAATAAATGGTCTCTTTATCATTTATAAATGATGGATTTTATGGTTATTTTAAAGCTCCTATTTTTCACTTTGACCGCGCTATCCAAACATTATCAGTTAAGTTTCCAGCCTAATTTTTGTTCCATTGTCTTTATCATTTTGTTTTTTTAATACTTTTTAATGAAATCCTTCTATTTCAATGTGTCACTTTTTTCTTTTCACCCTTTATTCATGTTGCCTCTGTGCAACCGAATGTACTTTTTTTTTTTTTTCTCTTGCACAGTATTTTGAAAGGTCATGCAACTGATATGTGCTCAATAAAAACACTTGCTTTGCCGTACAGCAGTGGGTATTTTTTGCAGAAATAGAGGGACACAAAATCCAGTTTTGCTTAGACCTTCACTGAGGCTTGGGTCCAGCCCTGACTGTCAGCCATTTCCATTTGGTTGAGGGCTTGTCCTCAGTGTGACACTGAAATTTAAAATCCATCTTAATCTCCAGCTTCCTAGTCTCCCTTCTAGGGCTTTGGGTCCAACCCAAGTCAAGTCTTTAGAAGCCTATAAGTGAAATATCCTGGATTTTAACTCCATCTATTTTCCCATCAACTCTGACCAGCTTTCCAGTCCCTGCAGGGGAGGTTGTTTTTGTACCAAACATACTTTCCATTATTATGTGACTCTTTAAGGATAAAAGATTATTCATTAAAACTTCCCATTTTTAGGTGATAAGTAATTGTCACCAATCCCCCCATAAACTTGACTCTAACTACGGTAATCTCTGATGGTCCACAGTACAAGTTAGTGTGATGCGCCCTCTTATCCATTTTTAGAAGTAGAATAAGGTGTATAATTCTGCTTTTATTTTAGATCTTTCTTGCTTCTGAATGTTGCATCATGAAACACATAACATAAAGTGAAAGAATCCAGCATATGTTTATGGTGAAGAGCTGCATTCAGGAATCATCGGACTTGTAAAGGTACTGTATCTTGCCCTGGGTGAACGTCCTGCGTTTCAATGCCCACACAGAGCCGCAAACAAGTCTGTCAAGGCCAAATAACAGTGTGGGTGAATCAAAGACATGTCAGGTGTTATCAGCCACCCAGGAGTTTGAAATGCCACTTTGTATCACGTAATTGTTCAGTAGTTTTGATTTGTGTAACATAGCAAATACAGTCACAAACCAAGACAAACCAAACATATCCTGATATTGTTCAATGCAAAAAATTAAAATCGAAATAAGTCCTGTTTTCTTAAAATAAGTGTATTTTGCCTTGAATTGAGGAGGTAAGTGAGACACTCTGCCAATGGAACAAGACAATTTACATTTTAAATAAGAAAAAACAATTTTATTGTCTTATTTCAAGTGCATATAATCTAATTATCTTATATTAAGAGTAAAAATACTCATCTCATTGGCAAATCATCTTATTTAACTACTCAAATTAAGGGTAAATACACTTATTTTAAGAAGTTTTGACTTATTTCTAGATGGTTTTTCCAGTGTTAGGATACCTGTCTGTGTGTTTGTGTTTTTGTGTTTGTCTCCCTTCCTCCACCAGGAGGCGCCTGGTTCTGGTCCGCCTCCTCACACACCTGCGGAGGATTACCTCGTTAACAGAGCGCTCTTAAGCTGCTGACTGCCTTTACCTCGACGCCAGAGTGTTTGCCAGTTTTGGGTACTCTAGCCAAGCTGAGTTTTGCTGAGTCAAACTGAGTTTTTGCCAACCTGAGTCTTAACCTTGTTATTTTGTCTTTGCCTCTCGGCAGGAAGTCATCCTGCAAACTGGATGTTCTGGACCTTCTCTCCCTGGAAGGATCATCTGAGCTTCAAACTGAGCTGAGGATTCAAACTGGAGGTTTGGATCCACTTTCCTTCAAGAGATTTTTTGAGCTTCACAATGAGCAAGGGATTCATCTCCACAACAACCCATTCAAGTACCCCAGGAAATCTAAGTGGCGACAGTTTCTCCGTTCACCTACAAACAACCGCATTCTGGGTAAACCCTGTCTGCCCTCCATCGAATGAGACAAACACTGGAACACCCCACACCGACTGGAGTTAAAGAGTCAACCACTTATCTGGAAACGTGATTCTACAATCTATTTCTCCTCTTCAAGTTCCAGAATCAATTTTCCCACTGTACCTGAACTAACCGCAGTATCTTCCCCTCACCTTCCAGTTCCGGTTGAGCAGTGTTCAGAGCAATACTAGACTCTTCACAATCTCCTCAATCAACATGTTAAACTTTCCCCTGATCTCTCTCTGTATTGGTTTTCTACTTTTTGGGTCAGACTTTAGTTAAATCATGACAGATATTGACATTCTAGGCATCTTTTAGATCATTGTGAAGTGCTGTTGGATGCAAATTTTACGATTATGAGAAGTAACTTTTATTAGTTTTAAAATATAAACTCAGAACATAAACCAATATCTCTATATTTATGCATAGATCGATCATCTAATTCTGCTTCAGTCATATCCCATCATCAGCAGGGAGAAAGCTGAGAGAACCACACTGACATGTGAAACAATCAAATATTTATCCTTTATTTAGAAATTTTTCATGGTTTTAAGTGAGTTATTGTTATTTTATTTAATCTATGGTAAATAATTTGATTTAATGATTGAACCCAAACAATACACATCTACAGAATAAATTTGGAAGTTATCTAAAATCCTATGGAGGTAAATTCAACACATTTAAAGTTTCTACATTGGTCCACATTAGATAAAGTTTAAGTTACACTTTTAAAAGTATTGAACAGTTCACACTGAGTGAGTACATAAAACACTCTTTATAGTTTAAATCCAACACTTATCAGGTTTGAATTTAGCTAACACAATTTTATAGTCACCAGCTAACACCATACACTAGTGTTAACTCTTATTTGGATTTATGGAGAAATAAAACTGAGTATTATCAGAATAACAGCTGTAATTAATCTCATGCTGTCTGATATATTGTTGTCGGAGCTGCCCTCGGGCACCATTGCTGCTGTAAACAAGCACTACCGAGCCCTTTGAACACGATTAACATTTCATCAGTGCGAAATGTGTGGTCCTAGTGCAGGACTAATTTATGCATCCTATGCACAACTTCCTACCTTTGACTAGACGCTTCTAGTGGCTATCCATCATGACTGGGATCAGTCTGAGGAAAGATCTCAAAGGGAACAAGGTCTGGACTTTGACTTAGACCCTATCTTATCATGTTATGTTAATATGATGTTAAAGGGTACAACTCTGTTTTAGCTTTATATTTCTTTTTTACAGACAGCCTCGTGTTTTTCCCAAGCATTGGACTAGAATGCACTTTCATATTGTCAGTAGAAACAGGTTGCAAGTTATGACATTTTTACAATTTTTTACAGGAGATTTTGAGCATTTACTTCCTGCTCTCAGGTTGAACTTCTTTAGATGGTCAGATATGGACATGCTGCTGGATGTGGAAAAGAACAGCTTATATCTGAGATTTTAACAAGGCAAAAATCCCTCAGAATGCTGAGTGATTATCTTTTAATCAGGTGCATCTGATGTTAGGCTTAATGCATGTTCAAGGGAATTAGTACGAGGGTATAATTATATTTTTTTTTCCAAAGAACTGTTGTTTTTTTTAGTAAATCTTACATAAAGGACTTATGTTGTCTTATTGGCTGTGAGAACAACTGTTACAAAAGAGAGGCAGGTCTGCTTGTTATTGCTTTATGGTTGTGTTTCTATTGATTATCTTTAAAGAAAAGCATTCAGTCATTAACTGTTGGCAACAAAATGGCCTCAAACGGAGGAAAATCAATGCAACAAATATAATAAGTAAACAGTTTACTGGATGATTTACTTTTCAAGGTTCAGTTATGGAAGAGTGTGTCACAGAATTGTGTTACCACCAGTGCACAGCTTGTTAATACTGCTATTAGGTTGATGTGAGCACATTTGTTGTGCACAAATAGGTCATAAAATGTGAATAATTAACTTGCACAAAGAAGGGTAGCATACGGGGGGAGCATCTTCTGTCCAAACCAGCATCCAGAACCGACATAAATTCTGCAGGGACTGCCGGGAATATTGGTCCAAAGTTAATTACTCTGATAAATCCTCCTTCAAATTGTTTCAGACATTTGAAAATTCTGATCAGAATATTTACAATTTAGACTTCTGTTCAAGAAATGTCATATATTTTAACCATACCAAACCAAAAACAAACTGTCTTACACAAGATAAAGCATACCAACACTTACAAGAAAAATAAAC